CGCGTGTTGTATAACCGTCGTATGCCACTCAAGCTCAAGGGAAAATTTTATAAGACTACAATAAGGCCGGCGATGCTGTATGACACAGAATGTTGAGTAGTGAAGCATCAACACGTACATAAAATGGGTGTAGCGGAGATGAGGATGCTTCGTTGGATGTGTGGGCACAAGAGAAAGGATAAGATTAGGAATCAGGATATCCGAGGTAAAGTAGGAATAGCCAAAATTGAAGGAAAGATGAGAGAAAATCAGTTACAGTGGTTTAGACATGTGCAATGAAGGCCTACTGACGCTCTAGTTAGAAGTTGCGACTATGGAACAGAGGTCCAGAGCCGAAGGGGTAGGGGAAGACCTAGGAAGACTTTGGAAGAGACTCTAAGAAAAGACTAAGAGTACTTGGATCTAACGGATGACAGGACACAAAATCGAGTGTAATGGCATTATAGGATTCATAAAGCCGACCCTACTCAGTGGGAAAAGACTTTGTTTTTGTTATTGTTGTTGTTATATTTTAGGCTCCACACTTCTTACTTGACTAAATAATGCATAGGTTTTGGAGTGATTAAATGAGCGAGTTTGAACCAGCTAAAACATGTGGAGAAGTCCCAATCTCGTAGAAACACCGAAGGATTGTGGAGGCTCTAAGTGTTCATTCAATATAATGCATGTTATGTTCTAGCTTGGTTTGGGCCTTGGGCCCACAAATGTACTTGAAAAAGGAAAATTGGGCTTAAATGAAAATTAAATAAAGTGTAACAGGGGTGGGCAAACAGATAGAGGAATCGCGGGTCGGGACAGGTAAGGGGTTGTTCCAATTTTTTGAAAAAGTAAACGAGGTGGAGTGGAGCGGGGCAATGACACTAAGGGTGTGTTTGTTTGGCCTCACTTTCACTAGGCTAGACTGGATTAGCTATCATTGAAATCCTGTGTTTGTTGCGTACACTGACTAAAGTTAATGAGACTAAAGGGGATTCGCTCTGACTATCTCCCTCGCTAGGAGGTCTTAGCGAGAGCTCCCCAAGACCATGGGATTGCTAAGCCCTTCGTCTGGTCTATCCTTGTCTCCTCTCATCCATTATTTGCTCTTTGTTTTCTTGAGCACCAACAACCACCATCACACCACCACTCCCAACTTCAGCGAGATACACCGTTAACCCAACACCACTCTCTCCCTCTCACCTCGAACCCAGGATTTCGAACGAGGAAATCTCGCTTTCTCCATTGTCCACCCCGCTCTAGCAGTCCTCTAATTCACCTCCGAGGAAAATCTCGCTGTAGCACTCCTTGATTCAATTCCTTCGAGTTTCTGGAGGTTAATTCTTTGATTTCCTGTATTTTTTTGGGGGGCTTAATTTTGTTTGGTTGGTAGGAAAGCTGAGAAATTGGTTTCTATCGAGATCCAAGGAAAGCAAGCATCCTCGACAATTTTTGGTAGAATTGCGGAGGAAGAAGAAACAAAACGAAAAGGCTTGAATTTGTTGCAGGCCATTGGATTTTTTTTTTTGGGAAATTGGTGGTCTGGGATTTTTTTGGGGAAATTTGGAGATCATGCAGTTTATGGAACTCTTTAGATTGGATCAGTGAAAATATATGAATCAAAGGTAATAAAATATTAATAAAATAATTTAAAAGTAGTAAAAAAATATTTAGATTCTAAAAATAATTTAGTCTGTGACTTAGTCCAACACTGCACCAAACGCTTCACTATTCTTGTCTTGCTTAGTCCATGCCAAGCCAGTCCAGCTTAATCCCTTAAGCTAGTCTAGTCCGAGATAATTCGGTGCAACAAACGTATCCTAAAGGACCGGCCGAGTCCAAAAGTGTAAAAAAGCTGACCCCGGACGGCCTATTTCTAATTATAATGAATGGACATCAACCGCAGGTTTTTCCCTAGTGCACCATTCTCTACCCAACTCTCTCTCAGTGACTCACTCTCTCTCGTCTCCTAACAAGTCCCACCCATAGAGTTTCCATCAGTCGTCTTCTCCACTTAGGGCCGGCCCTGAGGGTAGCCCAAGTAGGCGCCCGCCTAGGACCCTTACTTCAGAAGGGCCCCCAAAAAATATTTATATCCTGTAATTAACATATAAATACAAAAAAATAAGAAATTTTATAATTCATTTGTTAGTGCAGTGGAAATGTTGGCTTAATTTTTCTTTTGGGTGTTGAGTTCGAAACACGAAGCTGCCTTTCAATCACTAGATTTTTCTTAATTTTTCTTGTTTTTCAAATTCACTGCCAATCCATATGTCCAACTCCTAATCCATATGTCCAAATGCATATAAAGTTATAAAACTCAAGTCTCTTTGCAATCTTTTTTCTTTCAACTTCTCATTCTCTCTATTTCTATCGAATGTTTAAACTAACTTCTCATTCTCTCCATTTCTATCAAATGTTTAAATCAACCATCATATGGTCTTAAAGATTGTACTTTAAGGTAATCAAAACTTTGAATTATATATTTTTCTTTTCAATAACTTTTTATTCAATGGATTATTTTAATATTCAATTCGTTAGTGTGATGTTGATTTTAAAAGAAAAAAACACAAGAAAAACTGACACACCCCGATCCTAGAATTAAGGTGTGCTGGCCGTCACGTCGGCGTGACATAACCAAAAGTGCGATGCGGAAGCAAAAGATAAAAGAAATACAAAGGAATAAAAAATCAACTACTAGCAATAATATCCAACTAACATGCTAGAGTGAGTTTAAGTGTGAAACACACATATTCAGAGCATAAGTGCTAAGTGCAGTCAAGTAGGACCATAACTAAATTACAACACCCGAAGGTGAGTCCTACATTTAAGTAGTCTGTCAGAATGCCGTGGGAATCCTCGTGAGCCTCCAACACTACTAACTAGAACCTGGAAGGGCGCAAAACAAGATTGAATGGGTCAGTAAAACAAAGCTTTTCGAAAATATTTCATTAAACAACACTTCTAACCCCTCATTGTAAAACCTGTATACTTTCCCAGAAAAATAGTATATACATAATGATATATCACAACAAAACTCAAATCACAAGTCTTTAACACTTTTCAAGAATATGTCATGCTATGATTCAAAACATGATAAGGATGCATCAATATAATAGATGAAATAATGAATCAACCGGAGACCCTACAGCTATCCTGTACGATTAATTCTATAGCTCAATATCCAACCCAACCGGAGTCACCACTGTGACCTGTACGACACTACTCTGCACATAAATCGGAACTACCTGAAGTAGTTTGTACGATAAGAATGGTGTAAGAATACGCTCTGGTGCTTCTCTCATCAACAGCTGTATAATAATCTAAAGTCACCTACAAGTCGGAACCACCTTTAATGGTCTGTACGACATGTCGAAACCACCTCTAGTGATCTGTACGACATGCACCTACTTGGATCCAAGGTGAGCGTGTGGTGCGAGGTGAATAATATAAGCACTAACACCAAGGGTGCAGGTTATGAGCTCTCAACACAATTCACATCATCAATAAACCATATGAACAACATAAAACTCACCTGATATTCACCTGTGCGTCCACAGCACTATTTCACATATATGCATCAAATACTAATTCATATATTTCATATAATATGCATGCACGGCATTTTAAAACGTACTTTCATTTGTATTCAATTTATGGAAAAAATCAGTAGTATATAGGTATAAACAGAAAATAACTGCCCACTCACTGGTATGTCGAAGGGTCGTAACCCCCATGACGCCCTGAACGCGCTCGTCCTGGGGATAAATCTCACCTATATGCGAAACAACTATAAAAACGTTATTTAAAGTACATAACCAACAATCCGTAATAACTTCTCATACGATGCTCAAATTGGGTATATGAATATACCACAGTGACCTACTCGACGTTACAGACGTCGAGATATTTTTGAAAAAAATTTTGGATCAGTCATGCGCCCTCACGCGCCAGGAATGGCACGGACCTACGCGCCCCCACGCGTGTCGTCCCCTACCTTCAGTCGCCGGACTGGTTTCGTTGGTGACGGAAAAGTCGCCGATTTCTGGAAAATTTTCAAACTTCTTATTCTCTGTTAATTCTCAACCATTTTTTACGCAATTTATACCAAAATGAAGCCCTAAGCATGAAGAATCATGATGTACTAATTTAAGGCTAAAAAACACACAAAATCTCACCGGAGAAAATCCAAGAAAATCGGCCAACTTCGAACCCTACGATCTCGACGTCCAAAACCTTCAAACTAAGTACTCCAAGCTTCCTTGGGACCTCACTAAGCTCCCTGTAGGCTTAGAATTCCCTGAAAACCAACATTTCACATGTGCATGAACAGTGACGTTAAACTGGGTTACGGTTTCAACGTGATTTCGAGGGTTTCCAATTCTAAAACTAGTACCAATCGATTCAAGAGGTGGCAAGGATGAAGAAACTCACCTTTTTGACGTCGATCTGCGAAGTTTTGAGGGTGTTTGGTTCTTGTCTGTACGAGTTCGAGAGGGAGAGAGAGAGTGAACTGAGAAGGAGGAGAGAGAGAGAGCACGGGGTGAGTGTGTTGTCCCATGTGTGTGTGTGGTCCACCCAAAACAAATCCAAATCCAAATTTCTTAAGTCCCTAACCACACAAATTGTATACAATTTTAATCCACTTAAAATTTCCTAAGAACTTAGGAGAGTATGCAATATTCAAATAAACATGTCACACGTACCTTAGCAACCATGAAGGATAATTCTGTCATTTCACATCCACGATAAAAGAAATTTCGGGACGGGCTGTGACAAAAACAATTGGCGTTGAATTTATTATACTTGTCAATCAAGTTTTATTGTTATTTACTGTCTTGATCATCAAGTTTTATTGTTTTTCACTCACAATCTTAAACTCTTGATTGCAAACATTTAGTACATTTGTGACTAAAACGTGAATCGTGTAATGTTTAAATAATGTTTGTATATTTATCTTCTTTTGATATTAATTTTTAATGATATTAAATATAACTTTTTATATATTTAGCGAATTCTTTTTTATACAAATCAATATACAAAGAATCGGAGATCAGAGAATTTTAAGGCCCCACTTCGAAGGCTAGCCTAGGACTCCAAATTCTCAGGGTCGGCCCTGTCTCCACCAACCAGAACATCACCGCCGTCGCGAATCTTGTGACCACCACGACAGCACCACCCATCTTCTCGATTCTCCTCCCCGACGACATCCCAGACTAACCCAGGTCCCAGAACCACGACGACTTGATTCTCTGCTTCTCGATGATATCACCGCCATCACGACAACCATCATCCCATCGCCGCCGCCAGTTGAGGTAAATTCTTAGTTCTGATGTTAATTCCATGCTAAAACCTGCCAAATCTGAACCGATTCATTCCCATATTTTGCATAATTTGAACCGATTCCATGCTCTTGTTCTGTTGGGTTTGTGATTTTTGTTGGGTCTGTGATTTTTGTTCTGTGGAAAGCTGAACCCAGGTTGTACTAATGTGTGGAAATCTGTGAATTTTGCATAATTTGAATACGATGAACGAAGTTGGTTTCTGCTTGCATCTTTTACTTGATGCTTGATAGGCCACGAGCTCTGTATGTCTCCACATTTTGCTTAGGTAGTCATTAGAGAATTGCTTATAAGAACATTGGACTCAACTCTTGTCGTAATCAGGTTTTGTCATTAGAGAAAACTTTTGTTGACTGAATATTATTGATTTCTTTCTAGGCAAGGGGAAATAAAACCACATTTAGGGATGAAAATTGCTAAAGTTTTGTGTGACTTTCTTTTGCGTGTATATGTGTAGATTTCTGTTTAAGGATTTGTTGATGTGTACTACATTGCTTGATTTGTATCTGATCTGGTGTAATATACTGTCAAATGAATCAAACTAGGACTAATTTTTGTTCCGTTGCTTAGGAATTTCATGTTGATTATAGAACTCCTCAGGCTGAATTTCGTGTTGCACTTGTTAAAGATGCCTACTTGACCAGGCCTTTGGGACTGCAAGACGGGTTTATTCTGAAACCCCAAAGTGAATATTTAAAAGACAAATACTAAAAACCAAAAATAAAAGCATATGACAGGTTAGAGATCTTGGGTGTTTCATAGTTAATTGACAATAAAAAAGTGACACAACTCCTTATCAGTTGTTTCGTAGTTTGTGCACTTCCCAACACAAGAGAACTATTAACATTGAAGATCAGGTTTGAGTGCTCAGAGACCTGCAATTGGGTTTTTTGAGATTGATCGTTTGGGTCCCAATTTTGGTTGTATTTCATGATTGGTTTTAACATGTATCAAGGCAAATGTACTAACAGTGGTAACTCAAGTGTAACCAAAGTTGTTCATCTATTAATGAAAATCCATTGCACTGATTTGTTCTAATGTTCTTATTCTTGCCAAGTAAACTTGCCAAATGATTTCTGTGCAGTGCAGAGCTCTTACCTCCATTTTTTTATATTAAAAAAAGCTCATATTTTGTCGTAGTTTTGATGCATCTGCAGTTGTGAATTACTAAGAATATATGGCCATTTATTTTCCTTTTCTTACAAAGTACCCATCTGTTAATTTGATCTTTGGATGTCTTGGATGTTATTTCAAATGTCTCGGATTTAATGTATGGAACGATGTTGGACGATCTAATGTTATTTTGGATGTAATATTAATCTATGGACTTGGACTTTGGATGTTTGGATGTAATGTTCGAGGGATGTATTCAATTGGGATTTTAAAAGATTTTAATTCTTTTAATGAATATAGGGTATTTAATCAGGATTTTAAGTAATTCTTTGAAATTCAATGTGTATTTAATCTAGGGGTGGGTTCGGTACGGTTACCGTACCAAACTTTCGGTTTGGTAAAATCTATTACCAATACCATACCAAACTTTCGGTATACCGAAGTTCGGTATTGCCAAATGTTCGGTTGACATGGTATGACAATGGTAATTGCCACTTTGTTTTGGGACAAAATTTGTTTTGCCTTTTTTAACCCAATTCAAGTGCAAAACTTTTTTATTGTACCTTTATCTAATACTTTGTAGCCTAAATTCATCGATTATTCATCATTCACAATTCACACACACAATAATTCAAATGATGCATCAAGATTCATGATGAAAATTAAGTTTACAATCCAAATAGAAGCTACGAACCAAAACAAATAGAAGTTTCCCCCATGCTAAAGATCGTCTCTATCCTCCATTGGTTCAAACACACTTCTAGAACTTTCCCAATGTCTTCTCCCTTATGACCTGTGATCTTTATGAAGTTTATAATCCGTTTGTGCAACTTTCATTCCCTATCCATGAAGTGAGCGGTAACTACCATGTAGTTAATGTTTTGTACCGATGTCCAAGTATCGGTTGTGATACTTACCCTTTGATTATGCATTGCTTCAAATAACTTAGACTTCTCCAACACATATAAGTCACACACACTAGCCGCAATCTTCTTCCTATTTGGAATCTTGAACCGAGGTTGAGCCTCTTTTATCATATCAAATTATTAGAATATTATAAATATGTGTTATATAATTATATATTATATAATTTATAAATTATATATTATATTATATGTTCGGCACGGTAAGGTAATACCGTGGTAATGATATCCATTACCAATACCGTACCATGAAATTTTGGTATGGTACAATACCGTACCATTACCGATTGGTACAAAAAATTTGGCACAAAATCGGTATGGTACGGTTGGTAATTCGGTTGGCACGGCAATTTGGCAAAAAAATCCACCCCTAATTTAATCGAGATTTTAAAATAGTTTATTAAAATCCTTAGAAATCTGCTTGTATTCAATTAAGATTTGAAAGAAATTTATAACATTCTAGGTGTATTCAATTAGAATTTGATTTTAAAGAATTTCAAAAACATGAGGAATTAGAGGGAATTGGAGAGATTTTGTAGTGTATTTTAAGCATCCACAAATCTCACATCTCCCCATGAGATTTTGAGGGAATTGAATCAAAATTTTACATGGAATCTCTACAAATCAATTAAACTCCATAAAAATTCATGAATTTATAAATCCATTAAAATATCTTCAATTCTCAATTGAATAAACCCCTTTTAATCTCTGTGCAAATTGGAAATTTGTGCTGTTGTGCAGCACAATGACAATCTGTACAGCTGTGCTGCTAAAAAAAAAAACAATAAAAATCTGTTTTTTTTTTCAAAAAAAAACTCATGAACCCGGCCCGTTTCAAACGGGCTGAGTTTGGTCCGGTTCCAGTTATCTAATTTGATGTACCCCGGCTTCTTTTAAAAACAGATCCGGTCTAGTCCCTTCAAATTTGGGGCCGACCCATGCCTACCCCTAAAGTGTAGCGCATTTTACGTAAAATTGGTTATTATTTAAACACCAACAGAGCTACTAGGGTCTATTCGTCATACTGAGTGGGTGCATTTTGCCGTGCAGCTACAAGCTCAGGATCCTTCCCTCACTCTCTCTCTCTCTCTCTCTCTCTCCCGCCTTAGTGCTCCATTGCTTGTCTTCTGGTAAAATGGGGTTTTCTTGTGTTTGCGTATTTTCCACGTAAGTTATTGGGGTTCGATCATATTTATTTTTGGGGCTTAATCTCGTTTTGTAGTTAATTTGTTTCATTTTTGTATAATATTTACAGATTTTTTTTCAATTTATTGGAATGTACAGAAATTGTGTAGTTTCAGAATGGGATTATTATTTGAGTATATTTTATATGCATAGATGGTTGTGTCACCGTTGAAATTTAGTGTTAGATCCTCTAAGATTTTTCATAAACATGTAAGGACATATGTTTTTTATTTGTATTGAGTTTTGTTGCCATTTTTTTTTTATTAAAGGAGGACGAAGATGTCTCATAGGAAGTTTGAGCACCCCAGGCACGGATCGCTTGGATTTCTTCCAAGGAAACGCGCTGCTTGTCACAGAGGCAAAGGTATATAGCTCCTTCATTTGTTTTCTAACTTGCATGGAAGATATTCGTAAAACATTTTATCATTTGCTAATTGTTTGTATCTTAACAACTATCGTATTTAATATGATACTTCTTATATTTAATTGGAATGCTTACGCTTGTTCCTTTTGTATAACTATTAGTAAAGATTTTCGACTTCTGTGTTTTGATAGTTAGCTTTAGCTTGAATATCTGTATAGGTTTAATTTGTTTGTGTTTATTTGTGTGTGTATCACTCAAACTCGTTTGTGCATTGTTTGGATTTGCAGTGAAGGCATTCCCCAAGGATGGCCCATCTAAACCTTGCAAGCTGATTGCAATGACTCACATTGTCAGAGATGTCAAGAAGCCTCGATCAAGTATGTGACTTTCTAACCAACATCTGTTTAGGTCACATATTTTGTTGATGGGTTTCCCATATATGATATAGTTCCTTAATTTCAAGATTTCTTTTGTGTTTGATAGAAAAGTTTACTTGAATGAAGTTGATCCCTAGGGTTGGAAACATGTCTTTTTGTTTCATTTTACTGTCACAATACAGCGCTGCAATAGATCGATAGAATTTTTTCTTTTGTTTGGTTGACATGTGCATTCAAGTTGTTCAGAATTTCAGTTAGTTATTTAATCTAAAATTTATGTCTCTAGATGTTTAGCATGCAGAAAATGATGAGTTATGAGGTATCACTTTTAGTTCCATTTATTCTAACGAACCTTTAATTTCTTTAGAGCTTCACAAGAAGGAGATTTGCGAGGCTGTTACTATCATTGAGGCTCCTCCCATGGTGGTTGTTGGTTACGTGAAGACACCATGTGGCCTTCGTTCTCTGAACACGGTATGGGCTCACGCTCAGCATCTGAGTGAGGAGGTGAAGAGGAGGTTCTACAAGAACTAGTGCAAGTCCAAGAAGAAGGCTTTCTCAAAGTACTCAAAGAACTATGAAAGTGAGGAGGGAAAGAAGAGTATTGAATCCCAGTTTGAGAAGCTTATCAAATATGCTACTGTCATTCGTGTGTTGGCTAACACTCAGGTAGATTGAACTGAGTTTGTGGAATTGATTCTGTTTTTTTTTTTACCCTTTGTTGTTTGTTATGATATTTTATATAGAACCTTCTGCCACTTTACACTACAAATTTCTTTTTAAATACGTAAAGACGTGGTTCTGTTTTATGATGGTGTTATCTATTCAACTAGATGGAATTTATTGTTTGGAAGCAAATTTGCAACCCGTGTTATTTTGCTCTGTTTTTAAGATATTATGCCAAATATAGTTATAATAATAGCTGCAACTTTGCATTGAAACAAGTAATAATATGTTCCATGGAATTCCCGATTGATGTTTTCTGTGCACGTTAATTAACCGTGTTTTTTATTTAAGTTGTTTCTTATAATTGCTATATCTTGCTTTTTTGTCCTCCTTATGATCCAAGTGTGCAGAAGGTTCAAGTCAACAGAGGAAGATGAAGGGCTTGAAACAAAAGAGGAAGATGAAGGGCTTGAAACAAAAGAAAGCGCACCTTATGGAGATCCAAGTCAACAGAGGAACCATTGCCCAGAAAGTTGAATTTGCCAGAAGCTTCTTTGAGAAGCAAATCCCTATTGATGCTGTTTTCCAGAAGGATGAGATGATTGACATTATTGGTGGCACAAAGGGTAAAGGTTATGAAGGTGTTGTTACTTGTTGGGGCGTAACCCGTCTTCCTCACAAGACTCATAGGGGTCTGAGGAAGGTGGCTTGTATTGGGGCCTGGCATCTTGCTAGAGTCTCATTTACGGTTGCCAGGGCTGGTCAGAACGGATACCATCACCGTACTGAGATGAACAAGAAGATTTATAAGCTTGGAAAGGCTGGGCAGGAGTCACACACTGCTGTTACTGAGTTTGACAGGTTAGTAAACTTAATAAACCTGCGTGATGTTAGTACAGCATTTTGGTGTATGTTCTGTCAAACTTCTGTGCAAGGGTTCCTCTTTAGTTTTTGTTGGGTTCGTGTATTTGTGGTTTTACATGATGTCTGATGTTTTATTGTGTTTCAGGACTGAGAAGGATGTGGTGAAGGATGACTACATTGGTGGCTTCCCTCACTACGGTGTGGTGAAGGATGACTACATTCTGATCAAGGGATGCTGTGTTGGACCTAAGAAGAGGGTTGTTACTCTTCGCCAGTCCCTTCTCAAGCAGACCTCTCGTCTTGCTCTTGAGGATATCAAACTCAAGTTCATTGATACCTCCTCAAAGTTTGGTCACGGTCGCTTCCAGACAACACAGGAGAAACAGAAGTACTATGGACGACTCAAGGCATAAGGATGAGAACTGGCCAAGAATTATTAGGTATCGAAATAGTAGTCAAGTTTTTAGTATCCGTGCCAAAGACATTAAGTTGCAACAGTTCTGTTTTCACGGTTTTGGTTTGAATTCCCAATGACAAT